CCCAAAAGAAAAGTGAAGTTATTCCTAAACTTCCAAAGTCAAATGAAGTTGTATCCAAACTTATCCTACTTTTGAACAAATTATGACTACTTATATACTTGTAAAAATGGGTCACTTGGGCCTCCCAGGCCTCCTAGGCCTCCTAGGCTGCCTGATCTACGGTAAATTATGTCACGTACTACATTTGATAAAGTGATCTACACTAATCAAGTATCAATAAGAATATCAAAGAAATAATTATAAATAAATACAGTAGATAAAAATGGAAATAGAATGAAGATCATGACTAAAAATAACTATCCAATGGTAGTAGGTGCTATTTTTATCACAATACCATATTTCTTATGAAACACTGTGTAACTTTGTTTTAATAATTTTTGACAAATCTATACTTGAATATTTCTTTAATTATTATAAATTACTTCTTTAATTCTTTCTTTGGAAATTGTTTTTTAAAGCAATTCCACTTGAACGCATCGGTCAAATATAAATTTAATCCCAATATCCATATGTTTTAATGATATTATTGATGATTGAAAAAAATATTCTGAAAATGTTTGCTCTCAAAAGCCCAAGTTCTTTAATAAAAACTTTTATAATATCAAAAAATCAAGTAATAGGTAATATAAATTACAAATTCTTATTTCTTACTTAAGTTTCTTAAGTAATAACAAAGCTTTAATTGAAAAAGTTAAGATCCAAATGTTTTTCTTGAGATATTTCAATCCAGTATTCACATAAATAAAAAACCAGTTGAATTGATTTGTTTAATACTACAGATAATAAAAAAAAATTTTTTTCTGAGATTTAAGTAAAGCAAGAAGACTATTTCAATCAGGTAGATAGATTCTTTTTGAGAAAAGATTGTTTTTATTTTTAAACTTTTTTTAGTAGACCTTGAATTGTTTTTTTCTTCCAATTATTTTTTCCTTTTACTTTTTTTAATTTAGCAATTCATTGATTTTTAGATCAATTAACAGTGAAAAATTATTAACAATAATTCTGATAAATAAAGATTATTATCAATTTATTAGGAAAGTGTAATATTGTCTTCAAAATCAGACTTAAAATATTTATATATAAAGACTAATTAGTCACTTTGTAAAAGTTTGTAAGCCATTGTAGATTTTATTTTAATTTCTCAATAAAAATAAAATATCCTGATATAATTATAAGTTAAAAAAAAAAAAAAAGTATAAATAATTTTTTAAAATACTTTTTAAGTTATTTTAAAGATTCTATTAATCAAAAAATCAATAGACTTTTATGTAAACATTTTTTTTGTGTGTGGTCAAAAAGAGTTTAGTAATATTTATTTAAAGTATCTATAGAAAATTATAATTCAACTAAAAAAAAACTCTTTTTGCTGATCTTCTAATCACATATAAAAAAAATATTTGCAAGAAATTTTTTTTGTATCTTTGCTAAAAAGTCTTAAACATTTTCTTTAAAACTCCTTAAAGAGTAACTTTAAAAGTTATCATTATTCTTCCTTATTTATTTACAATTCTTTTTGATCAAAAACTTGACTTCTGATGATCAAGAACAAGTCAAATAATACTTTTGATATCAATGGCAAGAAAGTTTTCAAAGGAAAAAGAACCAATAGTGAAGTATATGAAGGTCTTCTCCATCTTTGAAGCAAGAGATATATAGAGGTTTTTGATAATAGAAGGGTTTATTTTTCCCCTTCCAGTCACTTGTAGACCTCTTAGAGCTATTCTTTCATGGTTTTTTGAGGAATTTTGTCTACTTCTGTTTGACTTTGAATTTTGGATAGTATAAATTCTTATCAAAGGTGATTGGCTGACACAAAACACATTGGTTTTAGAAAAAGTAAACAAGCTTCTATTGATTATAATCACATGTTTCTATTATATCATTAGTAATATAGAAAAGAAAGTTCTAGAAAAAGTTTTCCTCCAACTGTACATATTCAACTTCAGGAAACAATTATGACACCAAAAGATGGGGTAAATCCACACAAAGAAATTCTATTCTTTTTCTAAGTTCCTTAAGTGGTAAAAAGGTTTCTTAAGGTAAAAGCTAAAGTTTTTTAGTTTCTCTTGGACTATCCCAATCTGATACATGCTTAAATAAAGACTTATTTGATGTTACAGATAATGATAAAAAAGATTCCTTCTGAGGTTCAAATAAAACAAAGAAGAATATCCCAATCAGGCAAGACTTCTTTTGAGAAGAGACTGTGAAATGAAGAAAAAATCTTTTAAAGAGCTTTGAATTGTTTTTCATTTTTTCCCTTTTTCCTAGTTTCAACTTCAACAATTCATCACTTTTTGGAATAAACAATAGTAACAAACTGTTGGCAATGACCCTGGTTGACTTAGAGGCACTATGCCAAGTTACTAGGAAAGCACAATATTGTCTTCTAAATCTGACTTAAAGTACCTAGTTGAGACTTAGTTTTGTTTAATCCAAACTAGCTTAGTGGACACTTCATATTTTTTAAGTAGTATAATTTTTCAACTAATAATATATAAAGATGAGTTAGTCATTACGTGAGAAGGTCTGCAAATTATTTTGATATTTTCTCAAGTATCTTAATAAAGACAAGCCGTTTCGACATGATTGTGGGTTGAAAAATTATAACCCAACTAATTTTTTAATAAAAATTATTACGTAATAAGTAATTGTTTCCATAAATTGTTACTCGATACTATGGTTCATAGGACCCACATAATTCCGGCCAAGGATTCATTGGATTCATTGTGCGGGTCCATAGTTGGTATCATTTATATTATTTAACCCGAATTTACACCTCCTTACTTTTGTGAACACATTTCTTTATTCATAATCCTTAATACTTTCAAAACCATGAGCGAAAGCAATAACGCTGCGATTTCAAGCCCGAGATCTACGGCGGTTCAACCTTCTTCCCCAGCACATTCAGATGCGTCCTCTTCTAGTACCAAAAAGGATGCGGAAGCTTCTGCATCTACAGAAGCGACCACGCCATTGAGCAACAACGGGTCTACGAATGGAAAGCCCTCAAAAAATGTGCCCAGTTCTACACCGGCAATAAACATTTTTTCGAATGATGGAAACTTTTTTGGATCGGTTTAAGAAAATGAAGGCCGAGGAAGATGAGAAGAAGAGGCAGCTTGATGCCTTAGAAAGGTGAGGAAATTCAGGGATCTTAGGCGAATTTCAACCATCAGATGTGGTGCAAATCGGAAACGGCTAAGAGGCTTGAAAACCGATAGGTTTTGTGCCTCAATGGCGTTCCGATTTTTTTTGTGACTGATACTACCTTTGTTATAGAACGGTGTATGCGTTGAAAATTTTTTCTTAAAATTCAAAAGGTCGTGGATTTCTCGAGAAATTATCGACTCGACAATTTAGCATTTAATCATCGTGATGAAATATTGGAGCAAGATATAGTGAGCTTGTCGGACCCGACACAACTCATTTCCTGTGCAATACTCAAGGTGGTTCGGAATATCAAAAAGCTTTAGACGGTAGTATACCCATTGTTAGACCAGAATGGCTGGTCGCCTGTGAAAAGGAGGGTAAAGTGCAACCAGCCTTACCTTATTATCTCACATCACACTCTGAAGAAAAGTAATTTGATGTGATTAATTGTTCTTACACATATCGTTTATAATGTAATATAATCTTTATTTTTTTTCATTGATAAAGTAGAATTTAATGACTTCAACCGATGACTTTTTCACTGACAAGTAGAAAGACAAAACGATATTTAATTATAGGATAATGATAATAAATTTTGTATACAATAATGAGCAATGAATTTTGCTATACAAGAGTAGCTCATCCCCATATCTAGTTGTAATATCAGTTGTATGAGAGTTCGTCTTCATATGTCATCTACCTACAAACAACTACCAACATACACAGTATACATTAATATATATTAAAGGTGAAAAAAGAACTACACCACTAAGAATAATGGTACATGTGGTTCATTTTTCATGAATACCTTCATTTTGTCCGTTTAGAATTGTTCACACGTAATTATTTTCGCAGATAATTATTACTGATTTTTACGCTTAAGACGCGACACAATTTGGAAAATGGAATGAATCAGTTTTATTGCATTCAAATTAATATAAACTTTCTTTTTTCCAGCTCTTTTATTCATTCTTCAAGACTCTTATTGGTCATCAAGTGACTGTAGAATTAAAAAATGATCTTGCCATCACTGGCGTTCTCACCTCTGTTGACCAATTCCTAAACATCAAACTTGATAATATTCGAGTTGTAGATGATGCAAAGTATCCTCATATGGTGCCCGTTATTGTCTTTTTAACATTTAATTCGCGTTTAAATTAGCATCATCTGGTCCTAATGATTAATCATTCATAGATGGCCGTCAAGAATTGTTTTATACGTGGATCGGTAGTTCGTTATGTTCAACTACCTGCCAGCGCAGTGGACACGGCCTTGCTACAAGATGCTGCGAGAAGAGAAGCACAACAACCAACCACTGGGGGAGCCCATTCAATGCCACGTTGAACAAACCCAAGTTTTTTCATTTACAAATTCCCGGGTTTGCTGGACGAATCTAGTTAGACCAAACTTCTATACAAATAATGTTTTTCAGGTTGCGGAGAGATAATTAAAAAAATTGTTACTTAAAATAACCATGCCGAAGACTTGAAACGATATTTCCTTTATGCTGAAATATATTCATTAATTTTGTCACCAAGGATTCTTGAATTACCAAGTGCCTTATCCCATCTAGTGCGTGAAATGAATATTTGATTACCTTTTCTCCTAGAAACATTTGATTTGAAAACGTTTTTGCCTTGTCTGCTTGGGATGTAATTTTTTAAATTAAAATAATTTTGATTTTTTTTTTAAAAAAAAAAAAAAAAATTATTTTAGAATTATTATAAAACGAGTTTTTGTTTATATAACGTACAAACCAAGTAAAATAATTATAGATTAATCCTTATATATATATATACTGTCTATTAAATTTGTGAGTAAATATTTAAAGAATTAAAATTATTGTATTAAGTTATATCAAATTTATTGTTGATTGAAATACTGTAAGTAAATATTAACATAGAAATAGCATTATTTAATGCTTACGTCTTTTTTTTCCTACTTCGATATAATATATTTAGAATGATCATCGTGATGCTTGCTTGCACTCAATATTGTAAATTGTGCGTATTTCTTATTTATACTCGTCTATCTTTGTGGATTGAGACAAGCATAAGATGGATGGTGCGGTCTTAGGTTTTCTAGGATATTGCTATCAAAATGGAATCGGAGTTGAAAAGGACGAACATAAGGCATTCGAATATTATCAAAGATTAGCTGAGATGGGAAATGCAAGTGGGGCGTACAATGTCGGCCACTGTTATAGAAATGGAATTGGAGTTAAAAAGGATGAAAACAAGGCATTCGAATATTATCAAAAATCAGCTGAGATGGGTGATTTAAGTGGAACGTTTAATGTCGGCTATTGTTATGAGAAAGGAGTTGGAGTTGAAAAGGATGAACACAAGGCATTCGAATATTATCAAAAATCAGCTGAAATAGGATTTCCGGAGGGCTTATATAATGTTGGTTATTGTTATATGAACGGGATTGGGGTTGAAAAGGATGAATATAAGGCGTTCGAATATTATCAAAAATCAGCTGAGGTGGGTCATGTAATGGGCACGTATAATGTCGGCTGTTACTATGAGAAGGGAACTGGGGTTAAAAAGGATGAACACAAGGCATTCGAATATTATCAAAAATCTGCCGAGATTGGATATGCAGACGGGATGTATAATGTGGGCTGTTGTTATTCTAAAGGAATTGGAGTTAAAAAGGATGAACATAAGGCATTCGAATATTATCAAAAATCTGCTGAGATGGGTCACGTAAGTGGGACTTATAATGTTGCTTATTGCTATCATCAAGGAATTGGGGTTGAAAAGAATGAACATAAGGCATTCGAATATTATCAAAAATCGGCCGAAATGGGTGATGTAATGGGAACGTATAATGTTAGTAGCTTCTACAGTCAAGGAATTGGAGTTGAAAAAGATGAAAATAAGGCATTCGAATATTATCAAAAATCAGCTGAGATGGGTGACGTGGATGGAATATATAATATGGGATATTATTATGAGAAAGGAATAGGAGTTGAGAAGGATGAACATAAGGCATTTGAATATTATCAAAAATCAGCTGAGATGGGTCAAGTAAGTGGGACGTATAGTGTTGGCTGTTGTTATGAGAAAGGAATAGGGGTTGAAAAGGATGAACATAAAGCATTCGAATATTATCAAAAATCAGCTGAGATGGGTCAAGTAAATGGGACATATAATGTGGGATGTTGTTATGAAAAAGGAATTGGAGTTGAAAAGGATGAGTATAAGGCATTCGAATATTATCAAAAATCAGCCGAGATGGGTCACGTTGAAGGAACGCGTGCAGTTGGTGGTTTCTATCAGAATGGAATTGGAGTTGAAAAGAATGAACAAAAGGCATTTGAATATTATCAAAGATCGGCTGAGATGGGTGATATTGATGGAATACGTAATGTTGGTCATTGTTATGAGGCAGGAATTGGAGTTGAGAAAGATGAACATAAGGCATTCGAGTATTATAAAAAATCGGCTGATATGGGTCATGCTATTGGAACGCGTGAGGTTGGCCGTTGCTACCTCTATGGACTTGGGGTTGAACCGACTGAGCATAAAGCATTCGAATATTATCAAAAATCAGCCGAGATGGGTGATGCTGATGGAATGAATATGCTTGCTGGATTCTATCGAAACGGAGTCGGAGTTGCAAGAAACCTAGAAGCAGCTATGCACTGGTATCAAATGTAAGCGATTTTGTATTTAATCCAACAAACGATTTTTTTTTTTTAAATATATATACAGTATATATATATTAATATAATATTAAATAATTAGGGAAAGAAATCAATTATTAGGTGATTATTATTTAATTTACTATTCATTTATTTTACTGCATAAAGCGATATGATTAAGGCATAGTTTCCTAGAAAGTAATGATTGGGTGCATGAAAACTCCGATGTTGATGACGAGCTAAACGAAATATTTATTGAAAATAAATACTCGTTATCTTGGATCCCTTATAAGGAACTGAAAATTATCGGAAAGTTAGGGCAAGGTGGATTTGCAACAGTATATTACGCTACGTGGAATATTAGGGGTGTTGCACTTAAATTACTTCATGGATCAAAAGGTTATCGCAAGGAATTTGTAAAAGAGGTGAATTTTTTCTATTTTAACCAATTTCTTAATTATAATCAAGTGCTTAACTATTGTTTCTTATGCATTGAAGTTAAGGGCATGGTGTGAAGTTGGTCTTGAAAATCCTACATTTTTAAGATGTTATGGGATATCTCGAGATAACATTTCAAAAGATTATATTCTCGTTTTGCAAGTTGCGTCAATGGGTCCCTTGCGCAAAAATCTTTATTTGATAGCACAATTAGAGTGGAAAATGAAATTAAATCTGTTAGTTTGTATTGCTTCAGATCTTCGGATAATTCACTCGCAAAATATTATACACCGAGATTTGCATAGCGGTAATATACTACAAGATAATTTGTATAGTGCATATATTGCGGATTTGGGCCTTTCGATATCAGCCGACATAGCATTAAAAACAGAATCGGGTGGAATTTGTGGAATTTTACCATACGTGGCACCAGAAGTTTTGTGTGGTAAAGCATATACCCGAGAATCTGATATTTACTCATTCGGCATAATTATGTGGGAAATTTTATTAGGAAGAGCTGTGCCTTTCGACAATGAATCCACGGGAAATTTTAAAATTCAAGTAGTTTTTAATGACTTACGGCCTCCAATCGTCTCGGGTACACCACAATGCTATCTAGATCTCATGGAAAGCTGTTGGGATAAGGATCCTGAAAATCGTCCATCTGCGGAAAAAATTTACGAAATTTTCGTAGAGTGGCAAAATAACAAGAAAATTCTATCTGAATTATCAGAATCTGATAAAATATTAAGAAATATAGAAAATAAAAATACAGAATCGGAAATCGTTTATAAAAGCGAATTTATTTCCTATACGAAACCATCTGACAAAGGTAAAATAATAATCAGATGCACTTTTATTTTTTATATTATACTAACATATTATATTGTTTTTTATAGACAGCCAACAATATGATTTGGTGTTTAAGAAACTCCATATTTAGATAATGTCCTATTTAAGCTCGATTTCTATAGACTCACATCAAACTCGTCACGAGGTTCTAAACACTTAAAAGGTATGGTGACTATGGTGACTCATAATTTATCTAAATCGTAATAGGTGTTTCCTCATATTTTTTCAATCTATGAAATTGTTAATAAATCATCAAATTTATTGTTATACTGTATAAGAGAAAAGAAAAAAATTAGTTTAAAAATATATATAAACATATTAGTAAAAATAAAAAATTAAAAAGATAAATTATTTATTTTTAAAAAAATTACCTTTATTATATTATATATTTTGGTTACAATTATTTAGAAAAAAATTTTTTATTTTTAATTTCAAAATTTTTTTAAAAATTTATAATTAAGAATTACTTTTTAAAAAATCAATTGCTTTTAATAGACTTTATTAACTAAAAATACGGTATATTGTTAAATTTTCCATATTATTTAATGCATCTATTTTAAATTATTTAAACTTTAAATATAATTTAAATGATTTTTTATATTATAAACAGTTCAAATAAAAAATTTTTTTAATTATATCAATAATTTATTATTATTATATATTTTTTTAATTAAGTTAATTTCTAAAATTTATTTATTTTTGTTATAAATAAATTCATATTTTCATTACAATTCTTAATTTTATATAAAAAATTATTTGAATCAAAAAATTGGTGATTATAATAAATCAGATCAAAACAGATTTCAGGTAAAACTAATCTGAATTTGATTAGATCAATTTTTTTATAATCTGTATCCAAATTTAATTGAATCAGTTTTTATTTAATCTAAATTTAATAAATGCTTAATAGATATTGGATTAAATTATTATTATTATTTTTTAAACCTGTGGTCAGGCCAGCACTGTGTGTTTATTAATCAATATGAAAACTGATAGAGATACATAAGACAATTGCATTATGGTTAAACTAAAAGACTTGTACTAATACACTTGTTAATGGCTTTCAATTCTCAAAAGAGTTTTAACCTCTAAGTGCAATCTTGAAAATAATATTTCACTCTAAACTAAGTTTTGGGTAAAGGCCTTCTTAACTTATCCATTATTGCTAGCAGGTTGTTACTACTTATTATCCTTCAAAAACTGAATTCGAGAAACTACAAAAGGGAAAGAAAAAATAAAAGAAAAAGGAAATATCTAAAAATATATAAATGCATTACATGAAAAAAAAAAAAAAATTAAAATGTTACATGTTCTCTAAAGAATCTTTGCTAGAAACCTCTTCTTATTAGGAGTTAATTCTTCTGAGATATCCTTCTTTTTTCTAACTGTCTAAGAAACTTAT